TCCGCTGGGTCCGCACCTCTGAGCCAATGCCACCGTGGTCGGGACTTGCCTGGGCTTGTGGAGCGCTTCCTAGACAGCTGGGCGCCCACACCCAGGACCCAGCCACAGGGCTGGAACCCAGTTTTCTTCACAGAGCATTGAATCCCCATCCCAACCCACTCCTCAGATTTCAGGCTGAAAGGGAATGGTCACAGACAACAGCGGGGTCGCTAATATGGGCGCCTCCTGTGGTGGTGCTCTCCACGGCATTTACCATATTTCATAGATTCTAAAACCCCATAGTTAAACAACAACAACACTGTTTTGTGCCACTAAATTTTTAAAATTGTCAATTGTGATTTCAGAGCTATTAAAGCTCTGCTGCTTCGCATCAATAAAATGCTCTAATCTTTACCTGTAATATTTAAAATGAGGAAACTGAGACAAATTGAAGTCAAATAACTTGCCCAGAATCACACAGTCAGTAAATGGCTGTAGAATGGGGACCAGATGAATCCAGAACAGTGGCTATTGCCCATCACAGCCTCTCAGCATTGGACACCTGCCATCTGCCACTTACTAGACTCTGTGACATACATTCCTATAGCCACACTGGGAGCTAGGACTGTAATTCTCCTCTTTGTTCGAGTGGGTGCAGAAGTAGGTAAGAGCCCAGCCACTTGGGCTCAGATCCCATTTCCTACTTAGTGGCTGTGTGTTTGTGGACAACTGTTCTCCTGTCTGAAAATGAAGATACTATTGTGCCAATTCTATGAGTCACTAGAACAATGCTGAGCAGTTCACGCTTGAAAATTAACTCTGATGGGGGAAACAAAGGCATGGAGAGGCTGTGTGACTGCCCAAAGACACACAGCTCATGAACAAGATTTGCCACCAAGTCAGTTTCTCTGATTGCCAAACTGTGCTATTTCTAGTTTCCCAGAACCGGTATGTGCATTGACAGTGGACAGCAGTGTGGGCTCTGTCCCCTGGAAGGCCCTCGATACACATAGACCTCATCCCTGAACCTGTGTTTCTTATCCCTCAGAAGTTCCACCTCGTGCCAAGCATCAATGCTCTGAGTGGCAGCCAGGAATTGCAGTGGATGGTACAGCCTCATTTCCTGGGGCCCAGCAGCTACCCCAGGCCTCTGACCTACCCTCAATACAGCCCCCCACAACCCCGGCCAGGAGTCATTCGGACCCTTGGGCCACCTGCAGGGGTGCGTCGCAGGCCCTGTGAACAGGTAAGAAGCCAAGGTGTTGTGCTGGTTCTGATTGCCCACAGGAGTGCTAGGGTACAGGGGACAAGCTCTTTCTAGAAAGGAGAACTCAGGTTTAGAAGAGGGAAGGCAGTGTCACTGGTGACTTCTGCCCAAGTCAGAGAGTGATAGGAGTCCAGGGGGAGGCTCAGATAGTAAAGAGATCATTTCTGGATCAGGGGATGCTCCCCATGGAGGGCAGCATGCTAGCATGAAAGGAGGGTAGGATTTGCATAGGCAGAAGCCATGCAGGAGCAAGAATGGAGGAGAAAGAGTATAAGGCTTGCCTGTGGAAAGATGGGAGGGTCTCTTCACTGCTGATATACATGAAGAGGTGGGCTAATGCAGTCTATATAGTGGGGCAGGGGGAATGGGAACAAGAAGGTTTGCTACTTTCCAGGTCTCGAGGTTCCCTATCTCATTTAATCCTCACAAAAACCCTTTGGGGGGTATTTTGGTTTTTATAATTTTCCAGGCAAGAAAATGAAGGCACAGTGAGGTATTTACTTGCCCAAGATCATACAAGTAGTGAGTGATGAGACAGGACTGGCTTTAGCCCCAGGTCTACACAACTCTAGAGTCAGATCTGACCACTGACCCACACTGTGTCACTGGGAGCTGACAAAAGACTCCAGGAAGGGGGAACTAAGAGTTCTGGCTTCCCCAAAATAAATGAATGAGACATAAAGGGTCTTTAAGGAGGCAGATGCTCTTTTTTTCTTCCTGGGCATATGAGACAATAGTGAGGTGAGGTTTCCACATTTAAAAGTCTCCTCTGAACACTGGGTAGAGGATACGGAAGGAGGGTGGAACCCTGGAAGAAAGGTGATTTGCCACGGGTGCATGTGACCACACCTTTGTAACCAACTAGGGAAGGGAACTGGAGCATGAGCCACAGAGACAGGCAAAGGTAACCACTCCTGTGCTTCCTTCTTTTGTCCCTGTCCTGAGTGTGACCCTTTGATCCTGGGTACTACTGGGTTGGGGCTGAGCTATGAGTGGAGTCTTCCTGAGAGAGGGGGCCTCCATCAGTTGGCTTCTCATTCATTGCAAGTAGTGAGGAAATAGATAATCATTCCTGTTCCAGAACATAAACATATTATTCATCCTCTCTGGGCTTCAGGTCCTTACAAGGGAAATTTGATACGAATATATGTAGGGGCCAGGCATAGGGACCCATACCTGTAATCTCAGCAACTAGGGAGGATGAGACAGGAGGATCTCAAATTCAAGGCCGGCATGAACGACTTAGTGAGACCCTGTCTCAGAATAAAAAATAAAAAGGGCTGAGAATGTAGCTCAGTGGTAAAAAGTGCCCCTGGGGCCTGGGCGCAGTGGTGCAGGCCTGTAATCCCAGCAGCTTGGGAGGCTGAGGCAGGCAGAACGTGAGTTCAAAGCCTTCTTTGGAAATTTGGGGAGGTGCTAGGCAACTCAGCAAGACCCTGTCTCTAAATAACATATAAAAAAGTGCTGGGGATGTGGCTTGGTGGTTAAGTGCCTCTGGGTTCAATCCCAGGTACCAAAAAAAAAAAAAAAAAAAAACCACCACCAACAAAACATCCCTGGGTTCAATCTCTGGTATAAAACGCATACATATCTACATATACACACATATGCATGCATGCTGGAGGATGTCGCTCAGTGGTACAGTACTTGCCTACCATGCACCAGGCCTGGGTTCAGTCCCTAGCTCCCCCCCCCCCAAAAAAAAAGCAAAGCCTACAAACCTAAATAAAGTGCTTAGATGGTATACAGAAGGCTCCCAATAAAGAGTCTTCAGCAGGGGTTGGGGCTATAGCTCAGCGGTAGAGTGCTTACCTAGCACATGTGAGGCCCTGGGTTTGATCCTCAGCACCACCTACAAATGAATAAATAGAATAAAAATACCAAAAAAAAAAAAAAAGCCTCCCGCAGCACTCATGAGCCCCACTAAGGCGTCACTGTTCCTGCAGGAAGAGATTTGTCCTACCAGAGATCCAAAAGGACAAGGGTCCTGGGAACAGAGATAATCCTGACCTAGGGGCTCAGAAGATAAAAGTTCACTTCTAGCTGGGCTTCATGGAGGCGAGGGCTTCTGAGTTTGGTCCTGGGAGATGAGAAGGGTTAAGTTTTGTGGGAGGCGAGGGCATTTCGGTAGAGAAATAGGCACTAAGGCTAGGGGTGAGGAGGATTTGCCCCTGACTACGGAGAACCAGTCCCAGTGTGGTGGTCACTAAATCACAGGTTGAGGGTTGTGACCCCGCGCTGCCGTGCCCTCCGCAGAGGGCGAGTTCCAGGCGGCGGGTGGCTCGAGACCGCCTCACTGACGCCCCCATTCCCTCCCTTTAGATCAGCCCCGAGGAGGAAGAGCGGCGGCGAGTGAGGCGCGAGCGGAACAAGCTGGCCGCGGCCAAGTGCAGGAATCGTAGGAAGGAACTGACTGACTTCCTGCAGGCGGTGAGCACTGGTCGATTTAGGGGGCAAAGGGACCCTGATCCCAGGAGTCCGCGGGACCCCAGTACATTAGCCCCCATGCCCATCCTAGCTCCTTGTCCTGCGAAAAGGACGAGGAAAAGGTAATTAAAAATTAGTTGCAGCGCGCTTCTCAACAGAGACCAAATGAAGCCAGCTGACAATTTCCTAAGAAGCCCTGGGCCTGATGGGAGTCATGCCCGTGCCCATTTTCTCCCAGGGGCTTATGGGAGTTGCAGTCCAGATTTGCAGGGAACTTCCAAACCCCTACTTCCCCCCAACCTCCCTCCAGGGGAGGCCTTTGGGGGTCTTCAGTCCTCATCTTCTCCTCTTTTCCTAACCCTCTATAGGAGACTGACAAACTGGAGGATGAGAAATCTGGACTGCAGAGAGAGATTGAAGAGCTACAGAAGCAGAAGGAGCGTCTGGAGCTGGTGCTGGAAGCTCACCGCCCCATCTGCAAAATCCCAGAGGGAGACAAGGAGAGGGACACATGCGGTACCAGCGGTACAGGGGGCACCAGCAGCTCACCGGGCCCCTGCCGCCCTGTACCTTGCATCTCCCTTTCCCCAGGGCCTGTTCTTGAACCTGAGGCCTTGCACACCCCCACACTCATGACTACACCCTCTCTGACCCCTTTCACCCCCAGTCTGGTCTTCACCTATCCCAGCACCCCTGAGCCCTGTGCCTCAGCTCATCGAAAGAGTAGCAGCAGCAGTGGAGACCCATCTTCTGACCCCCTGGGTTCTCCCACCCTCCTCGCTTTGTGAAGCACCCAGTGCCATCCCCTGCAGGTGCTATCCTAGTCAACATCTCCTTTTCCCCCCTTTAGTCCAGCTGGCCTGGACCATATCCCAAGCCCAATACCAGCAGGTTCTTCTCCATCCTTCCAGATGAGACTGAGCATATTTTGCTTTGCAGTAGAGCCAGCCTGGGGCCACCAAAGCTGCCCACTGTTTCTCTAGAGCTGGCCTCTCCATCACAAGTTGCACTAAATCAGAAACAAAATATTTCCCATTTATGACAGAGAAATTCTGGCAGCTCCTAACCCCTTCTAGACCACACCTACTACACTTCATTATCCTGCAACCCAGCCAACCCTACCCCCTGACAGAAGGTGCTGTTTTACCAGCCTAGAACACTAATTCACCCAGCCCCACTGCCAGCAGCTCCAGGTGATTGGACCAGAGCATTCTGCCAGCCCCTCCTGAATGGCACAGCTCAGGAGGTGTCAGAGGCTTCTGTGATGAGCTGACTTGCAGCCCCCAGCTCTGAGAAGCCCTTAGCTCCAGGAAATCCAAGCCTCCCAGAGAGGGCAGCTGCTATTTATTTTCCTAAAGAGAGTATTTTTGTACAAACCTGCCAAAATGGAATAAAAGGCTTGAAGCTTTGGCCTGGATGCCTGGTTGGATCCAGATGCTTTTAAAGAGACAATTTGGGGTAAGAAGTTCTAGGTTCTGATCTCAGCTCCTGACTCACTGCAGTGACTTTGGTCATATTCTTGGCCCTCAACTGTCTTATCTGATAAATAGGGTTATGTATGCTCTGCCTCATCTCCAGGACCAAGAGGTGAGAATGACATGGGGTGCAAGCTAAGATCATAATTTCTCCCCCTGGGGGCCCACAGTGCTCCTGCGTGCGCCACAGGGGGCGCTGTTATGCCCCTCCACTTTCCGAGGAGCCGGCCAGTGGATTCTAGGTCCCCAACATCTGCTTCCTGCCCCATTGTCTTGGACAGGAAGGAGCCGGGAAGGGAGCTGGAGCCACTTCAGGGGGCTGATTACGGCCTGTCCGGGCAACCAACGGTGTGTGTGGGGGGGACAGTGGAGTACGACCTTTCTGCATCCCACCCCAGTGGATCCCCAGTAATGCGGGAAGTCAGCCACCTTAGTTCTGAAGCAGTCCCTCTGGAAGGAAATGATACCCCGTCTTAGCGTTCCCTCCCTCACCCCAGCCCCGGCGAGTCCTAGACAGATGCTGCCCAGGTTTTAGGCTCCGCTTCCGTCCGAGTTTATTAGTCCCCACCCAACCCCCAGCAAGTCCCTCCGCTCCAGCCTCCAGTCCCCCTGCTACCCCGCCAGCGAGAGCGGGGGGGCTTCCTCAATGTTAGGGATTCTTAGTCCATGCCAGCGGCCCCTATTACACTGCCGAAGCGACCGTCGAGGTACGGAGATCCACAGCAGTCCTGGCGCTCAGGAAGCAATTCTGGCGAGCGTCGGCGTAGAAGCAGCGCCCTCAGTCATCCGGGGAGCAGACGAGGGGCAACTGATCGGGGCTGCCCACGCTGCCGGTACTGGAACTCCCGTCGCCTAGGTCGCGGGGACCGCAAGGAGGCAGGGCTAGCTCTGGGGTCGGCCCGGCGCCGGAGCCCCCAGCGCCTCCGGGGCCGCCCCGGGGACCCCACTCTTCGCCCAGCGCCAGGCAGAGCTCCTTAAGCGCCAGGTTCTCCCGCAGCAGCTCCTCCTGTCGGCTCTCCAGCTCGGCTAGCTTCTGCCAACAGCCTCCCAGGTCCTCCCGTACCGCCCGGGATGCTTGGGTCCCGAAGAGCTGCCACTGGCGTGCGGCGCGGCGCCCGCGCTGGCGCTCCGAGTCCAGGAAGCAGCAGAGATCGCGCAGCTCCCTGTTCTCGGCCTGCAGGCGCCTGTTGAGCTGCTTGAGCTCGCGAATCTCGCCCAGGTGACCCTGCAGTTGCCGATTCACCTCCTGCATGAGGCGACCGCGCTGCACCAGTGCCGCCAGGCGCGCCGCCTCCTCTCGCCGCAGTCGCCGCACCAGCTCCTCCTTGCCCAGTGCCGCCATCTCCTCGTCCGTCAGCTCCTCCAGGCCGCCTGCCTCGGCCTCCATGGCTGGTCAGGCCGCTGGAGCATCGCCCGCCCGCCGCCGCGGCCCAGGAGCCCGACGTTGGGACCGGCGCCGCTCGGGTTCGGGCTCGGGCTCGGGCTCCGGCTCCGCGGGCGGCCAGCAGTGCTAGAGGTAGCGTAGGCTGCAGCAACCACCCGGGGGTGGGCACGCGGCGGGACGCGCGCCGAGGCGGGGCTGCGTGACGGTACCAAAGGACAACCAATCCGGCAAGCCTCTCCGGAAACGGGCGGGGCCTGGGCACTGAGCGCCTCTTCCCGCCCATTCCGACCCGAGGGATCGCGACCCCTGGCGCCAGTCTTAACTCAATTTGGAGGGGCTCAGTCCTTCCAAGTTCCAGATCTCATCAATCCTGAGCCTAAGCCTCTCAGCTTCATCTGAGAACGAAGATTTGGGCGACCGCTTCTGACTCCTTCCTGCCCAATCCGCGACGGAAACCAGACGGATAGCTTTCCATTCTCTCCTATCTTCTGTGGAATTCTAGTCTTCGCTCTCTAAGCATTACTCCTAGCTCCTCCGGATCCTGAATTCAAATGTCCTGGCTTCATTTATCAGTCTACCCTTCTTCCCAGGGAATTGGACATCCAAGAGATTCGTTTATTCAGTAAACCTTTATTGTGTGTGAAGCTCAAGCAGAAATAAATTTGACCAAGATCCTGATCTTGACCTCAAAGAGTCCAAAATCTGGTGAAGGAAACATGCTCAGATTAACAAGAAGCAAAATGTTGGAGGAGGGCTGGGAGTGTAGCTCAGTGATAGAGCGCTTACCAAGCATGCCTAAGATCCTGTGTTCATTTCCAGTACCAAAAAGAAGAAGAAACGCTGGCTGTGGTGGCACACGTCTGGAATCTAGCATTTAGGGAGGCTGAGGCAGAAGAATTGTGAATTCAAAGCCAGCCTCAGCAACTTTGCTGAGGCCTTAAGCAATTTAGCAAGACCCTGTCTCAAAATAAAAATATAAAAAAGGGCTGGGATGTGGCTCAGTGGTTAAGCACCCCTGGGTTAAATCCCCAGTACCAAGAAGGAAAAATAAAAATAAAAAGGAGTGGGCTGGGGATGTGGTTCAAGCGGTAGCACGCTCGCCTGCGTGCGGCCAGGTTCCATCCTCAGCACCACATACAAATGAAGATGTTGTGTCCGCCGAAAACTAAAAAAAAAAAAAAAAAAAAAAAAAAAAAAACATTAAAAAACTCTCCGTCTCTCTCTCTCTCTCTCAAAAAAATAAATAAATAAAAAAAAATAAAAATAAAAAGGAGTCCTCAAGTATAGTCTAGAGGATTCCCAAAAGATTTCTCCAAAAAGGTGATATACAATTTGACCCTGAAAGGTGAATAGGACTTTGCCAAGTAGAGAGAAAACTATGTGAGGGAGAGAGAATAGCGGAGTGAAAGACACTGATGCTCCAAAAAGCCTAGCTGCTTTGGGAACAATGAGAGTAGCCTGATGTTTTTTCAAAGACAGAGGTGCATAGAAAGTGGTGTGGAAGAGTAGGTGGAAGCCAGATTTTCTTTTCCTTTTTTCTTTTTGCAATACTGGGATTGAACCCAGGGGCACTTTATTTCTGAACTACATCCCCAAACTCTTTTAATTTTTTTTTTCTTTTTGAGACGAGGTCTAAACTTTCCCAGGCTGGCCTCCAACTTGCATTCCCCTGCCTCATCCTGAATCCCTGGGATTACAGGCATTCACTACCACATTCAGTTAAAATCCTTAAGAGATTTCAATACTAGACTGGAGAGTTTCCAAAGGCCCACAAGGATTTAAAACAGGGGAGTAAATTTTAAATTACGCACTTTAAAAAGATTGTTCGGCGACTTTGTGTGGGATGGACCCTGCGAGGACCCTGCGAGGAGAGAAGGGAGGCAGGGATAGGCAGGGAGATTAGTAACATTGTGTCAGTGAACAAGGAGAGCTAGGCAGACTGGGCTGGGACTGTGTCAGTGGGAGTGGAGGGGGTGAAACAGATACTAAAGATACTCAGGAGGCAAATGCAAAGAGAGGAATCTGGGCGAAAGTCCAGGTTTCTAGTGTGAGAATTGGGTGGATATTGGGGCTGTCACTGAGATAGGGAAGCAGGGAAGAGATCTGGGAAGAGCAAAACATCTGTCTAGAATGTGTTGAGCTTTTGAGGGGCGTATGGGAAGACAGTACGGAGAGACTTAGTAGATAGGCAACCCTGTGGATGCTGGCTCCAGTAAGAGTTCTGACGAGTCCAATAAGGTTATTAGCTGGTGTGAGAATGAGGATTGTGGTTAAAACCATGGTGGGAGCAGGTGCCCTGTGTCCAGGGAAGGTGCTCAATTGCAGGATGATCAGAGGGATCCCCAGAAAGAGCTCTTGGAATAGGACCCCACACCCATTTTGCAGAGGAGAGACTTAGGGTAGAGAGAGCCCTGTGATGTTTAGGATGTAGATCAAAGTTGAGAGGCCCCAGGAGGGCAGAGATGGTGAAAGGAAGTGAGGGGAGAATTTGTGGGGCAGGAGAGATGAGCGGGAGGCACTTAGGATGCCCTCCTGAAAACAGTTCGGATCAACAGAGTAGGGAGAGCGAAAGATCTGGGATATATCCGTCTCAGTGTAGGGAGCAGCTACTCTACAGACAGGCTTTCTTAGCTGTCCCCGCCCCACCCCCTCCGTTCCGGAAGTGGTCCTTCACTGGCTCCGGGTGCTCGGAGCGTAATCTCTGCGCTCCCGGAAGTGGTCCGGCAACCGCGCGCCGGGCCCGGGCAGTGCCAGCTCCTGCTCGGGGCGCCCCGGGCCCGGGCGTCGCCATGACCAGCGAACTGGACATCTTCGTGGGGAACACGACCCTTATCGACGAGGACGTGTATCGCCTCTGGTTGGATGGTTACTCAGGTTGTGGGGGTCCTTCTGGGGGAACCAGTGGGGCTGAGCAGTTGTTTTGAATGTAACAGGGGGCGGGGCCAGGACTCAGACATCCTTAGTGGAAGTGGTCACCTGGCTTGGAATGAGGCATGTAGAAGGGTTAGTGCTGGCGTTCCTGAAGGGACTCAGGGGTCAGGGGGGCTGGGTCTTGATGATGGCACCCACTCCCCAGTGAGCGACGCTGTAGCTCTGAGAGTGCGTTCGGGAATCTTGGAGCAGACGGGGGCCACGGCGGCGGTGCTCCAGAGCGACACTATGGACCATTACCGCACCTTCCACATGCTTGAGCGCCTGCTGCACGCGCCACCCAAGCTACTGCACCAACTCATCTTCCAGATTCCGCCATCCCGGCAGGCGTTGCTAATTGAGAGGTGCTCACCTGGTGGATGGTGGGGACGTCAACCAGTCTGACCGTATACCTGTTTTGCAGGCTGAAACCGAGGTCTGGGAGGGACGGAACTTACTTAAGAACTAAGAAAGTTGAGAGATGAGGCCAGCCCCAGGCCCTGCCGGGACCCCTTTTCCCCTCCTTTATGAAGAGTTAGTGGTGTCTTCTTGCTTCCACAAGATACTATGCCTTTGATGAGGCCTTTGTTCGAGAGGTCTTGGGCAAGAAGCTGTCCAAGGGCACGAAGAAAGACCTGGACGACATCAGCACGAAAACAGGCATCACTCTCAAGAGCTGTCGGAGACAGGTAGGCACTGCACCCACAGTCCATTTTCAGTCCTCTCCTTTATTCCATCCCTAGGCTACTGTCCCACCTCCAGCCTCTGATTGTGGCAGCAGCTTCATTCCTAGTCTCTTCCCCCCTCTTTTTGTTCTTTCTAAGTCATCCCCTCCCTTATGGCCAGGATGACCTTTCATAGGTACACATCTGACCTTGGCTCTCCCCTGCTCATAAATTCTCATTACCTCTTGGGTAGAAACTGCACATCTTGCCTTTAATCTTCAGCCTCTCCTGCTCCCTGCAGACCTCTCGAGGCTTTCATTTCTCAATTCCCAGGATTTCTTTTGTTCATGTTGCTTTTACCTGGAAGGTGCTATTTTTGACCTTATCTGTTCCCCTGAAATTAAAGTCTTCCGCACAAGACTTTTTGTCAGTGCCAGGGAGAAGTAAGCTTTTTGAGCCTTTGATGCCCTTCTTCTGTGCCTTCCATGAGCTCCCCAAGTATGGCTTTGAATTCCTAGGACTTAGGAAAGTCTGTTCCTGTTTAAGTTCCTGAAGACTCAAGAGAACATGATGGTGCAAATTGGGGTTACATTTAGAGAGAGGAGTGAGTAAGAGTGGCAGGGGGCATCACTCATTGGTAGAGCACTGGCCTAGCATGCAGAAGGCCCTGGGTTCCATCCCCAGCACCACGAAAAAGAAAAAAAAAAAAGTGAGTAAATATTAATTATTCAAGGCAAGATGACAAAAGCTGGCAAACATTTGTTGAATTGATAATAGCTACTAATAACTAGTAGTTTGTTGAAGAACTGGCAAGTGCTAAATCAGCATCTGCCACCTGAATAGGTGGTTAGGAGAGAGAGGGATGTTCATTGGGTGAGCACATTCTAACCAGTCTCCTTCCTCTCCTAAATGCCCTCTAGTTTGACAACTTTAAGCGAGTCTTCAAGGTGGTGGAGGAAATGCGGGGCTCCCTGGTGGATAACATCCAGCAACACTTCCTCCTCTCCGACCGATTGGCCAGGTGAGGGGCCAGCCATCTGCCCTTCTGCACATACCTTCCCTGGGCCCTAAGTCTGACCCATGTTGCTCACTTCAACTTCTTCCACCTCCTAGCTTTACTAGGGGGATGGTTATCCCACTTCTAGTCTGTACTTTGGATCAGACTGACCTGGATTCAAATTCTGTCCTGCCATTTTGCATCTGGGCTGATATGAGGTGGCACATTAAGGTACTTAGGAAGTGCTCAGTAATGGTAGCTGGTACCCTTGTAGTCTTCCACATTATTCCTTAATAAACCTGGGCTGAATGCTTCTCTGTGCACAGATGAAGAGTCCCATAGAGAAGTGACATGAGACATTTCACACAGTGAGTTAGGACAGAAAGAGGCCAGAATTTGGATGCCCAGCTGAGGTTGCCGGTGGGAGCTTGTTGCTAAGAAGGAATTTTTTTTATTCCACACTAAACATTTATCTAGTAAGCTTAATATTCAGGACATTATTGTAGGCACTGTGAAAAGGAATTTTAAGCACTGAGAGGACCTGCCTCCTCCTCCCTGCAGGGACTATGCAGCCATCGTCTTCTTTGCCAACAACCGCTTTGAGACAGGGAAGAAAAAGCTACAGTATCTGAGTTTCGGCGACTTTGCTTTCTGTGCTGAGCTCATGATCCAGAACTGGACTCTTGGAGCCGTTGGTGAGGCCCCCACTGACCCAGGTGCCTGGATACTCTCCCTACCCTCCTAGGGCCTGGTTCCCATCTGCAGTTCCTCCTGTAGGCCCAGTTTCCAGCATCCTTTTGTCTTCAGGTCCCCACCCAGGCTACCTCTTCTCATATCTGCTTTCCCCCACACACCTTATCTGCAGAGCAAGAGCCCACTGCTTCTGCAACGTGGCACCTGTCACTCCACCTTGAAACCTCATTTTCTCTTCTGTTCCATGGGTTGCAATGAGGTAGTGGGTGAGGAATGCTCAGGATCATATGGGATGGGTTTATTACCTACCCCAACTCCCTTCATGGGCCTCACACAGACTCCCAGGTGGACGATATGGATGTGGACTTAGATAAGGAGTTTCTCCAGGACTTGAAGGAACTCAAGGTGCTAGTGGCTGACAAGGACCTTCTGGACTTGCACAAGAGGTGACCTTGGGAGTCCATGGGCAGGGCCTGAAGTGGGGGCTGAGATGGCTCTAGGCATAACCCTTTCTCCCTGTAGCCTGGTATGCACTGCCCTCCGGGGAAAGCTTGGCGTCTTTTCTGAGATGGAAGCCAACTTCAAGGTCTGTGGCCCTGTCCAGCCTCTCCCCTGGCATCTTCAGCCTACCCCTCCCGGCAACTGTGCTCTTGCCTGAGGTTAACTGGCAGGTGGCGATGTTGCTCCCTCTGCCCGCCTGTGAGGAGGGACAGGCTTATAAACTGAGGGGACCTGGTTGATTGAGGGAGGTGGATAGATTTGAGGAGGGGCCTCTCCCCCTCACCCTATAGCCTCTGTGCCCAGCTCCTTCTGGGCAGAAAGCAGAACTCCCAGGGTCCCTGCCCCACAGAACCTGTCTCGGGGGCTGGTGAATGTGGCTGCCAAGTTGACCCACAATAAGGATGTCAGAGACCTGTTTGTGGACCTTGTTGAGAAGGTGAGATGTCCTTCCTGCCACCCTGGGATCCCTGACTCAGCCTGTCTATGGATGGTACTGGTGATACTGATTGCTCTCTTTACCCACAGTTTGTGGAACCCTGCCGCTCTGACCACTGGCCACTAAATGACGTGCGGCTCTTCCTGAATCAGTATTCAGCATCTGTTCACTCCCTGGATGGCTTCCGGTGAGAGACCCCAGACCTTGTGTCTAGCTTGGCCTTGATCCAGCTGGCCACCTGCCAGGGTTCACCCTCCTGCAGACTCAGGGTTCCCTGTCTTGCTGCCTTAGGGATTTCTCTTAGAATCTGTATGACCTTAAGCAAGTTATTTAACCTCTCCATACCTCAGTTTCCTCCTATAAACTGAGGATAATAATTAGAAGAATCACAAGAATTTATGAGGACTTGTTGGGTATGGTGGTGCACACCCACCTTAATCCCAGCTACTTGAGAAGCTGAGGCAGAAGGATCACAAGTTCAAGGCCAACCTGGGCAACTCAGCAAGACTCTATCTCAAAATAAAAAATTTAAAAAGGGGCCAAGATTGTAACTCAGTAATGAACAAGCCTGGGCTCAATCCCCAACCCCCCCCCCCCCCCCCCCCCCCCAAAAAAAAAAAAAAATATATATATATATATATATATATATGAGGACTTGTTGCTGCTTTCGTTACAGGCACCCAACCCTCTGGGATCGGTACATGGGCACCCTCCGTGGCTGCCTCCTGCGCCTCTATCATGACTGAGGCTCCTCTTCTATCCTGAGCACACTGAAAATAAAGTTGCCATAAGTTTGAAGACTGATTTTCACTCTAGGGAGAGGAGCATTTGGGGACATGTGCCGTGTATACCTGTGTATACCTGAGTGTCATTGGTGTATGCCAGCCCCTCTGGGACTGGGGCAGGTCAGGGATACTGTCTGTTATCTCCCCCACGTGCCATCTCCATGCCCCAGCTAAGTATACCGAGGAGCCAAGAGTTTTGTCTTGGTTTATTCAAGTTGTATAGAAGATTGGGAGGATAGGCAAAAACCTCAGGCAGGGCCTGTGTAGAGGCAGCTGGCATGCAGGAGGGGCCAGCAGGCTGCTGACACGTTTAGGGAGGGCAGGAGACTGGCTGCTTTTTAGCTGGTTTTCCCACACGGGCTGTGACTGGGTATTTGGTGATGCCACAGGTATTGCTTCCTCGGTGCAGTCGGAAGTAGCCCTAGGAAGTTAGGGGACATCAAGGCCAGAAGGTGGGAGAGGGCCTGTTCTACCCTGACCCCTCTTGCAATGGATCCTACTCACCTCCTCACCCCAGTTGTCCCCCCAGGAGTTCTTCAGAATCCAGTAAGGGGTGGAGGGGCGAGGACGGCAACAAGATGCAGAAGAGGCCGATTGTATCCCCTCTTCCACCTTGCTCTTGCCAAAACCCACCAGCAGGACAGAATGATTCACAACCCCGGGGTCACAGGTGGTGGGTGTGGCCTTGAACACACCATTCCGGTAGTGCTACAGGGGCAGAAGTGTTGAGTCTGAGCCCACCCATCCCATATGCCCCACCTCCCACGTCCTACCCTACCCACCTGCAGTGGCTTCATGTTGATGGTCACTGTGATGGGGCCTTGGGTAGCCAGGTACCAGGCAATTGCTGGAGATGGAGGGTGCAATCAGGTCCTGCCTGCCCTGGGGTTGCTGCTCTTGGCAGAGGGGTGTCCCTTTCTCCCCCTACCCCCCACCTCTGTCTGTGGCCAGTCTGGGTGCCTCCATCCTAGTTTCTGTCCCTCAGCCCCTCCATCCCCTGCCCGTGTCCGCCCTGGCCGCACTCTGCTCATTTTCCTGCAGCATGATGAAATCCTGGATCCAGGCCACCTTCTTAAACTTCTTGGCCAGGCACATGTGGGCCCGGGTGTGCCCCTGGAATGGGTAGTCCTTTTCACTGGCCAATCCACCTGAAGACAAGCAAGATAAGGAAGGAGCCTCTGCTGCTGAATCTCCCCCAGCCCTGTGCTTGGCTAGCGATGGGGATACTCACTGTTGTTGAGGACAGTTATGTATGCATCCCAGACGAAGCCACCCTTGCAGCCGTCCCCACAGTGGCCACAGTCAAGCAGTTCTGGGGCAGAAAGGGACAGTGTGGGTGACCAGGCCCCTATCCCTCTTTTCCCTGTCATACACCCCTCTCCCAGCCATACCCTGCACAGAAACTTCCACGGACTGTCGGTATGTGATGCCCCACAGGGCCTCGATGTTGCCTGCAGCAGCCATGGCCCAGCAGCACTTGCAGTTCCCCTGGGAGGTTAGAGGGTAGAGCACCGTGGGTGTTCAGGCCTATCCTCCCTTCTCCCACCCTTGGGCTGCATACGGATAAACCTATCCAGGTGAGGGCAGATACCTGGTTCTTTTTTTAAATTAATTTTTAGTTGTAGTTGGTCACAATGCCTTTATTTATTTATTTTTATGTGGTGCTGAGGATTGAACCCAGGGTGGCACGTGCTGGGCGAGTGCTCTACCACTGAGCCACAACCCCGGCCCCAGATACCTGGTTCTTGATAGATGAGATGATGCCATCTGCGTTCCGCCAGTCACAGGTGGAGGGCAGAGGCTTCCCTGCCTCTTCAGGCCCTGCCTTTCTTCCCATGCTAGGGCTCCCATCTGCTTTCCAGTGTCCATAGATCTTTCCAAACTCCTCCTCTGGGGGACAGACAGGGCCACAGAGGTCAGTTTTGACCCCATTTTCTCCATATTCTGCCCCTTCCACCCTAGTCATCCACATCCTTGGCCATTTGGGTCCCTCAGAGGTGGCAAGATAAGGGTACTGGCCACACCCGCCACCTCCTCTTCACACCAAGCTCTTTGGTGGTAACTTCTGCTTCACCTGCTGCCTCTAGCCCTTGAGCTGGGCTGGGACAGGTTGGCTGAGTTCCTGCCCTTGCAGTCTGAGACTTGGGACAGGCACCCTTTGGTCCTCAAAGTAGAAAGTCTGTTCTGTCCGTCTGCTCTACCAGTATATCCTACAGGAGATCCAGCTTTCCCACCCGCCACTTGTGGCCCAGGAGGGTCCAGGTACCTGTGAGGTCGCTGAATGGAGTCACCCCAAACTCAGCTGTGCCCAAGTCCTCCTCCTGTAGTTGCTGAGCCTTGGCCAGGTTCTGGGCAAAGATGTCCAGGCGGCGAGCATACTCTACACCAAAAGAGAGTTATCTCAGGCTGACTCCCAAGCCCCCTCAGAGGCAGGAAGTGGGCACTGGCGGGGCATGTTCCTACCCAGGTGGGCACTGGCTCCTTTCCTGTAGCCCCTACAGGCTCTATGGTAGACAATGGGCGAGGAAGTGGTTACCCAACCCACCTAGAGTTAGGACTTTCCCAGAGGCAGCAAGAGGAGCATCTTCCCACCCTGGGGAGGCTGAGTGAAGGGCAGAGTGACTCAGAAGGGAAAGTGAGTGGCTGGAGACCGGCTTCCTGCCAGGCCACATCCGCCACCCCCTCTTCACACCTCTGACCACAGATCAGGAGCTGGAACAGGGTAGGGTGGAAGAATGGGGTCCAGATCAGCCCCCTATGGAAGAGGAGATCCAGGACAGAGGGGGCAGGAGCTGGGTTGGCAGCTCATGGGGAGAGAGGGAGTCCCTACCTTGGGGACAAAATGGGTATGTTTGGGTGCTTGTTCAATGAACTCATGACTAGATGGTAGTTCCTTTTCCACTGCCTGGAATGGCAGGGAAATCAACTGCAGGGCTAGGAGAGATGCCCAACAGCTGCCATCTTCCCTTCAGGAACATGGCAAAGGATGCTCCTTCCTGTACCTACATGTGCATTTGGAGAACCAAGTAATATATCCCCAGCCCTGCTGAAGTGAGTAGCCTGGGCCAAGCTTATCTCCCACCATGAGCCTCAAGTTCTTCATCTATTTGGAGTGGGGGCTAGACTGGAGATTTATATGACCCAAGATACCTGCTGGGTTCAAGTAACTCCGATTGAACTGGATTTGGAACAACTTGAAGACCTCTTTCAGCTCCAGTGGCCAGGGACCTAGATTCTGGCAAGGAATCGAGATGGAAGAGAAAGCACAGGTGGAAAACTCATTGCTGGGACCCCACCTTAGCTCCATCTCCTAGGACTGGGCTAAGGTGTCAGTGAATTATCTTTCCTGGTCTTCCTTTGTGAGCCTGGACACAGCAACCACCTTTCCAGTCTCTGTTACTCCCTCAGAGAAATAGGCATGGCAAGCCAAGTCCACCCTTCCTTCCTTCTTTCCTTCCTGTTCTTTTTATTAAATCAGGCGAGTTTTACCACTGAGCCACATCCCTGGTTCTTATTTATTTATTTATTTTGAGACAGAGACTCTTTAAATTGCTGAGGGTCTCATTAAGTTGCTGAGATTATAGGCTTGTGCCATCTTGCCTGGCGACAAGTCAGTTGTTTCTGAAGGGATGATCCTGGACCTGGTACTGGTAGTGGGGAGGGTATGGGGAGCAAGTTGGGAGCACTTACCTGGGCTCCATGGGAGCCTGTGATGTTCTGGGTTAGGCTTGCCAGTAACAGGGCCAAGATGGTGAAGAGGCAGGTAGTCAAAGCCATGGTGGTGCAGCCCCAAATGTGTGCATGGGCAGGAAGCTGTCCAGACCAAGCTGGAGGGGGTGGAGCTGGAGAAACCACTAAAGGAAGCTGGGCTTGAAGTAGGGGTAGACCCCTAGAGCACACAAGCTGCCTCAGGCATTCATGTTTTTGTCCCTCTATTTGCCTGGCTGTTCCCCACCCCAATCCTTTTTCTTTATTTAACAGTGCTCTAGGCCACTGTTCTGGGAAAATCTGGGGATACAGAGATGGATCAGAAAGAGACAAGGATAGATACTGAGTGGGCAGTGACAATAAAGGCACCGCTGCCATGATGGGAGACCCAGGGGGTTATAGGCCTCAGACACATGGCAACCAGGTGCGGGTAGAGGATGGTCAGTACTCCCTGGGGAATCATTCTTGCTTCTCCTATGCAGTTGGTCAATACAAGGGCCACCTCCTTCAAGAAGCCTTCCCTGCTCCCCTGTCCTGTGGTATAACCTTCTTCAGCCCCATGAGCCCCTGCTGCTCCTGTGCCTACTTGGCATCTGCCTCCCAATCATACCAGAGATGTCCAATTTACCTGTCTTCATTGTTCAGGACAGGCCTACATAGAGTAGGCGCAATTTTTTTTTTTTTTTTTTTTTGTTGTTGTTTGTTTGGTACTGGGGATTGAACCTGGGGTGCTTAACCACTGAACATATCTCCAGCCCATATTTATATTAGAGACAGAGTCTTGCTGAGTTGCTTAATATATTAACATAGTTGTGCAACCATCACTACTAATTTCAGAGCAGTTTCATCATTCCAGAAGAAATTCTAGGGGCTAGGGTTATAGCTCAGTGGCAGAGCACCTGCCTAGTATGGGTGAGGCACTGGGTTCAATCCTTAGCACCACATAAAAATAAATAAAATAAAGGGATGCTCTCCATCTACAACTACAAAGCATCTTTAAAAAAAATTTTTTTGTAGTTGTAGATGGACAGAAATGCGTTTATTTTACCTGTTCATCTTTATGTGGTCCTGAGGATTGAGCCCAGTGCCCCATGCATGTCAGGCAACCACTCTACCACTGAGCTATATACCCCCAACCCCATATAAAAACATTTTTCAAAACAGTTAAAAAAATTCCATATCCATTAGCAGTCATTCCATGTTCCCCCCTTACCTGGAAAACCATTAGTTTCTCTTTTCCTATTTTGAATATTTTATATAAATGGAATATGTGTTTTTTTGTGTGTGTCTGGCTCCTTCACTGGGTGTATTATTTTAAGGATTAATCCATACTATAATGTGTTTCAGTATTTCTTTTTTAAAGATTTTTTTTTAGTTGTAGATGGGCACAAAATCTTTATTTTGTTTATTTATTTTTATGTGGTTCTGAAGATCGAACCCAGTGCCTCACACCTGCGAGGCAAGTGCTCTACTTCTGAGCCACAACCCGAGTATTTTATTCCTTTTTATGATTGAATAATATTCCACTGTGCGGAGGTACCACATTTTGTTTACTCATCAGTTGATGGACATTGGGTTGTTTCTACACTTTGGCTTTCATATACAGTGAAGAGTGTGTTTAGATTTTTTTTTTTTTTGTGTGTGTGTATACATGTCTTCAGTTCTCTTGGGCATACATACACCTCCAATTCTCCATACCGTTGTCAACACTTTGTTATTGGCTGTCTTTTTTATTTTAATGAGCTATGTTTTAGGGTTGCTTTTCTTTCATTTTTTGGTGGTACTGGGGATTGGAACCAGGGGCGTTCTACCACTGAGCCACATCCTCAGCCTTTTTATTTTTAATTTGGAGAGAGGGTCTCGCAAAGTTGCCGAGGCTGGTCTCGAACTTGCATCTTCCTGCCTCAGCCTCCGAATCACTGGGATTACAGGCTGCACCATGAATGTGATTTTTAAATGCTCATCCCAGAGGCTGGGAAGAACGGTGGCAGGAGCGGGAAATTAACCCTCAGCCTTTCGGCCTGAAGCTCTCAGGACTCACCTGCTCGTTCCCTTCTCGGTATATCCCCTCCTGGCAGCCACATTGGATGCGATTGTGGGGATATACGGGGATGGGAAAGGGCAGGGAGGAGCGACTATTCCCGCTCGCAGCCTGGCCCCTGGGGGATCTCTGGACACGCGGCCCTTTCCCGTCTGGTCCCGCCTTGAGACGTGGGCAACGCGAGGCCCCGCCCCTTCCTGGGAGCCAGATCCGCCCAGACTCCGCCCCCAGGGCATGCTCTGTGCCGCGCGCCTGGGCTGGAGGAGGGTCGGGAAGCGGCTGGTACTGTCCCCAGTCACGTTGCGCTCCCGAGTTCAGGCTTGCCCGCCTTCTCAGGGGGTTCCATTCATTTTGGGCCAAAAGGGAATTTCCGCCCCAGCCCCCAAACTGTTGTAGTTCTGCGGACGCAGGGCGCGGGGAAGGCCGTGAGGAGTGAAGAGACCACCTGACTGAAGGCGGGCCTGGGGTGGAGGGCAGATGAAGACATGGACAGTTTTGCGCCTGGGAGCGTCTCATGCCTGGATGAAGTTTTGGGACTGCTTAGTGTGATGGTCTGAGGGCACAAAATAAAATTCTGGAGCGAGTTAGAGTGAGGATGTGGCAGACCAGTATCAAGTGGGGGTCTAGGTGCCCAGTTACCCTGGGAGGCACAGAATCAGCCTGCGTGCTTCGCGGGACTAAGGAGTGGGTGCATAGGATGGGATTCTGGAGGCACAGACTGGGTAGAGTCTAGGTGCGCAGAATAACATTTTTGATGGGGGCTTGGCATCAAGGCCAATGGCCCCAGGACCTAGCACTGGGGGACCGTGGCCGGGCGCCCGGAGTCGGCTCCGGCTGACGCCGCGGGGGATCGGGTGGGGGCCTGTGGCCGGCCGGGGGCGGAGAAGCGGGGGTCGGGGTCCCTCCCCCTGGCGCGGGCTCAGGAATCCGCCGAAGGGCGGGCGGAGGCGCCGGGGTGGGCCGCGCCGCGGCGGGCGGGCGGGGGGCGCTTCCTGGGGCCGTGCGTCCAGGGAGCTGCGCCGTCCGCCCGTCCGTCTGCCCGCAGGCATTGCTGGAGTCAGCTTAGTAGCTGGTCGCTGCGGGCCCAAGTAAGTGGCAGTCGGTGGAAGGAGGGCGCAGGCCTGAGTGTCCGTGGAGTCGGCGCAGCGCAGAGCCGAGAGGCCTGCGCTCCTCGGCCCACACCGCTAGGCACTCGGCGGGGGCGGGGCGGCCCCGGGCGGTGGGCCTGGGACCCTGGCCTGCGAGAGGAGTGAGCCCCCAGCTCCGGGAGGCTTCCAGGGCCCTAAACACGGTCCTGAGCTGGAGAAGGCTGGGACCGGGGTTCCCAGTCCCAAGACAGAATATGGGGGGTGCCATGGCCGAGGCCCCTGACCCCTGCCCACCACCTCCCAGCCCCAGGATGCTCCCCTTCGCCTCCTGCCTCCCCGGTTCACTACTGCTCTGGGCGCTGCTGCTGTTGCTCTTGGGGGCAGCGTCTCCCCAGGATTCCGAGGAGCCGGACAGCTACACGGTGGGGACAGTGGGGCCACTGGCCTGGGATGGGATGGGCAGGGATAGAGAGACCAAGATCCTGGGTGGCTGCTGCTGGGGAAGATTCTCCTTTCCCCTGGTTGGTGGAAGACCTGGACACCATTGTTTGGAGCAGGCCGGAGGGTGGTGGAGCTCAGGCCCTTGCCTTGGCCTGGCCCGTTGGAAGAAATCTAGGGTGATCAATGGCTACCTCTGGTTCCTTCCAGGAATGCACAGATGGCTATGAGTGGGACCCAGACAGTCAGCACTGCCGGGGTGAGTGTGCCTGGGGGACAAACCACCCCTAGGAACCGGGAAGGGAATTTCTGCTTCCCAAGGACACCGCCACCTCCAAAAGCTGCAATAGGACCTCAGGGTCCTGTTCTCAGCCCAGTCCTGTTGGACCCAGGCTGATTCTGATTCCCTGGGAGCCAGCTCACCTAAGGCTGGCCCTTTCCTCTCCAAAAAACTCAGGAAATTCTGCCTCTACCCCCCCCCCCCCCATAGACCAACCATCAATAAGGCCCTGCCCGGAGGGGCCAGGTTGTGTACATCCTCTCTGAACCACTCTCTTGTGCCAGCTCTTTGTCCCATTGAAATCTGGGAGGACAGTGTCCATAGGGGTGGGTCAGAGGCCTGCAAATCTCTCTTGGTCCAAGTGAAAGCTAGAGAAAGGAGGAGAGTCACTTGGAGGTGGGAGAATGTGGGCAATAGTGGGAACAGCTGCCCTACCTCCAGCCCTGGCAGACCCTGGGGAGGGGTCCTGAACAGGCAGCTTGGCTTGTTGAGTAGAGAGAAGGCCTTACCCAATCACAGTGCAAAGGTGACTATGCTAGGCTCCTTGCCTCCCACTCCCTCCAGGGCCAGCCCAGGAGACTGGCTGTGTCTAACAGGTCCCTCTCTGCAGATGTTAATGAGTGCCTTACCATCCCTGAGGCCTGCAAGGGAGAAATGAAATGCATCAATCACTACGGGGGCTACTTGTGCCTGCCCCGCTCAGCTGCTGTTATTAATGACCTACATGGCGAGGGACCCCCTCCACCAGTGCCCCCTGCTCAACACCCCAACTCCTGCCCACCAGGCTATGAGCCCGACGAACAGGAGAGCTGTGTGGGTGAGTGGAGGGCCACTCTGCATCCAGGCTTCCTTTCTTCTCAGCAAGCTACTTCAAAACTCAGACCTCATTTTCCTCCCTTGCTCAAAGACTCCTCAGGGAGCCATCCATATCCTCATCCACGTCCTCACCATGGCAGGCCCTGTGCGTGTCCCACTGTCCCGCCAGCCCCTGGGATCCCGCCTTGTTTCCTGCAGAGACATGCAAAAACTCTGCCTCCCAGTCTCTGCCCCTGCCTTCTTTTTGGTCTGGACCCCACCCCTGGGAGCCATAGGCCTTGGGGGAGGGAGGATCCTGGAGTCAGTGTTGCCCCAAGGAGGGTAGAGTATAGATGAGGTCTTGTTTCCTGAGCTTCCCTGATGGGTGTCATAGGTTAGGGGTGCCCCCACATGGACTCTTACTTGTGCTGCTTGGACAGTCTAATTCATCTGTTCCTCTTTTTGGGGTCACTCATCACCCATGTGTCCATGTGAGTGGCATGTGGCTTGTGTCACCCTCCCAAGTTGAGGTGTCTCACTCATGTTTGATGGCATGTGGGATCTCCTGCAGATGTGGATGAGTGTGCCCAAGCTTTGCATGACTGTCGGCCCAGCCAGGATTGCCATAACCTTCCTGGCTCCTACCAGTGTACCTGCCCTGATGGCTACCGCAAGATCGGGCCTGAGTGCGTGGGTGAGTTCAGGGAGCGACCTTTCTCTGTGTCTCTGGCTTGGCTCTCTTCCTAGCACCTGACTCTCACCTGTCTCTTGTCCTAGCACCTGACCCTTATTCCAGCCCACCAGTAGGCCCCTGTCACCTGTGCCCTCCTGTTATCAGACACGGAAGATTGTATGTGGGTGTTTCCTGGCTGACACAATCCCCCTAGAAACAAACAGGACTATGGGTGCTGAGCCTTTAAGTCCCAGCCTGCTTGGGCCCCACCTGACTTCTGTGCTCTGCCCTCCTTCTCAGACATAGACGAGTGCCGCTACCGCTACTGTCAGCACCGCTGCGTGAACCTACCTGGCTCCTTTCGCTGCCAGTGCGAGCCGGGCTTCCAGCTGGGGCCCAACAACCGCTCCTGTGTGGGTGAGGCTGGGCCAGGCCAGGCTTCTGGGCAGGGAGGTGTGAGGTCAGGGAGCTTCCTTCCTGACCAGCCTAGGTGGAGTGGGGGCTCTGGACCATTCTTTGGCTTTCACCCTTCCCGTTTTTTCCTTCCTGGAACCTCTAGATGTGAACGAGTGTGACATGGGGGCCCCGTGTGAGCAGCGCTGCTTCAATTCCTATGGGACTTTCCTGTGTCGCTGCCACCAGGGCTATGAGCTGCACCGAGATGGCTTCTCTTGCAGTGGTGAGAATCCCACCCCTGTCCCAGCTCCTACATTGGTTCCCCAGGCCTTGCAGCTTTCTTTAATGTCCTATCTTCTGTAGCCACATATTTCCTATGTACTCTGGGCTAGGCTGGTGGGGAAGGCAATTAGGTCCCTACTGAAGTTCACTGGGGAAACAGAGAAGGATTTGGGTGCTACTCTTCCTGGGAGTCATGCCCACTTGGGTTTGAATCTGCACTAGGGCAAGTCACTCTTCTCTCCAAGCCTGTTTTTTCTATACAATGGGTTGTATGGAGGGTGAAGTCGGACAATAACAGGCTTCATCAAATCTTAAAAAGTGAACCATTTACTGAGAACTAGGCTGTTCTGGGCACTTTCCTCATATACTTGGCCTCGTTTCATCCTGTTTTCAATCATAGGAGGTGGGTATGATTTTTTCCTTTCTCCAAAATGAGGACATTAATCGCTCTCTCCAGGTTTGTGAGAGGATTGCAGAAAATAAGCATAAGTCCTGGGTAAACAGTGACTTTCATTTTCCCACTAAGAAGTTAAGTAACTTGCCGAAGTTCACACAGCAAGGGTGAGATAGTGCCAGGGTTCTATCCTGGATTTCTCATTCCAGGTCACCTGGCATGGTCTCTGTTTATATTATGCTTCACTGTGGAATACAGCCTTGTTGGTACCTGGCAGCATGAGGGGAACAAAGCCAGAAAAATGGTGCCCTGCCTGTGTAGTTCACAGTGTACAGAGGTGACTGGGTGCTTGGCCTGATTGTGGACTGCAGGAATTATCAGATAGATTATTGAAAACTAGAGCAGGCTGCACTTTCAGGACTTGTTTAACTGCTCATTTTATTGACAGTGAAACTGAAGTTCCCCCCAAATCAGTAGGATTCATACCCAAGCCTCCAGATTCCCAGGGTCCACCCCACTTATTGTACTTACAGTCCTGGGGTGAAGAGAGAGCTGTGAGCCAGAAGGCAGGAAGACTTTTCTTTTTTTCCTCTTTTTGGTGGTGCAGGGGATTGAACCCAGGATCTCACACATGCTGAATTCTTACCACAGAGCTATACCCAGACTTTTCTTTGAGCCCTCTATCTTCCTCTTGAGATCTGCAGAGCTTTTCTTGCCCTCTCTTCCCACACTCAGCCCAACTTGGGAATGGGCTCTCTCAGTACACCTTTGTGAGACTCAGTTATGAGGATGGCCCGAGTCCTCATCCCTGCCTTCCCTCAGATATTGATGAGTGCAGCTACTCCAGTTACCTGTGCCAGTACCGCTGTGTCAATGAGCCAGGCCGCTTCTCGTGCCACTGCCCACAGGGCTACCAGCTGCTGGCCACACGCCTCTGCCAAGGTACAAGTTCCCCGGAGGGGGGTGGGCAGAGTAATGTCAGGCCTGTGGCCTAAAGCCCGATTCTTAGCCCCTCTCTCTTGGCACAGACATTGATGAGTGTGAGTCTGGAGCACATCAGTGCTCTGAGGCCCAAACCTGTGTCAACTTCCATGGGGGCTACCGTTGTGTGGACACCAACCGCTGTTTGGAGCCCTATGTCCAGGTGTCAGACAAGTAAGTAAGCTCAATGCACTGCCTTTACAAAAACTACAACTCCCAGAGGGCTGTGGAGCAGACTGGCATCTTATTGGACTGGTGAGTGCCCCTGAGGACTGGTGGGAGTTATAGTCTTGTATCAGAAGTAGGCAGAGCCTCTTGGGAGTCCCTCCTTTCCGGGTTGGGCAATTTTGGGGGATGGGCCAGGAGCTCATTCATATTCCCCCACCTGGGGGGTCTCCAGCCGCTGCCTCTGTCCTGCCTCCAACCCCCTGTGTCGGGAGCAGCCTTCATCCATCGTGCACCGCTACATGAGCATCACCTCAGAGCGGAGCGTGCCGGCAGATGTGTTCCAGATTCAGGCGACCTCTGTCTACCCTGGCGCCTACAATGCCTTTCAGATTCGTGCTGGAAACTCACAGGGGGACTTCTACATTAGGGTAAGGCTCTCCTCTGTTCCTACCCCTCAACTGACATGCATACTCCAAAATGGAATTCCAGGAAGCCCTCAACAGAAACTAGATTGTACTTATGCCCAGACTCTCCTCTCAAAGCTCCCCGTTGGGAGGTAGGACTTCTTGGGAAGCCAGGGGGCATTCTACATTCCTAAGGTATAAATTATAGATGTTAAAGGCAATTCTAACAGGCCCTCAGGCACTGGGGTTTGAGACCTTGGGACTGGTTTTCCTATTTGGCCACAATTTGTTCACCCATGAAAATAGGACAGTGGCAGAGTTTTGTGAAGGGGTCCAAAAATCCATCTCTGTTAAGCTGTAGGGGTGGGGGTCTATGTGTGGCTCACTGTGAACAGTGAGAGGGTCTCAGACCCACGGTCCTCGTGCTGTATTCAGCACGATGAGGTGTTTGGTGTTAGAGCTTTTCTTTTTGAAACTGATTGCTTTGAAGGGGAATCTGCCTGCTCTGGACCACCAGAGGTCCCCATCAGTTTCAAGTCACACCTGGTCTTGAATCATCAGTGTGAACCCTTGTTAGGTAATTTTACCTAAAAGGGCAGGGAGAGGAGAATCTGAGGGCAGGGTAAAGGAGAGAGGAGACAATCAGGGTATCAGAGCCAGATGAGAACCTGGGTTATAGCCTGATGGCCAGGACTGTCTCCCCACCTCTCAGCCAGAGGGAGGGAGGTGATGCTGGGGTAGGGTCCTGGCACATGGGCTGACACAGTCTACATCTCCTGCCACCCACTGTGCCCTGCAGCAAATCAACAACGTCAGCGCCATGCTGGTCCTCGCCCGGCCAGTGACGGGCCCCCGGGAGTACGTGCTGGACCTGGAGATGGTCACCATGAACTCCCTCATGAGCTACCGGGCCAGCTCTGTACTGAGACTCACCATCTTCGTGGGGGCCTACACCTTCTGAGGGGAGGGACCTGCAGCGAGGGAGAAGGAGGAGCTACCCTCCCTGCAGCTCCCTGTAGCCAAGGAGCTTGGGACTCAGGAATGACTGTTCTGCTAAAAGGGAGATATTGTGAAGGGCAGAAAGAGAAAGGCAATAAAGGGAGAAAGAAGGAGTCCTGGTGGCTGAGGTGGTGGGTAACCTCAGCCTGGAGGAGGGGCTGGGCTTATGGGAGGCAGGCCAAGCCTACCTAAAGGGGGATGGGGGCTCTGTGTTCAGGCTGAGGGGCTCCACTGATGGGAGCTGGGAACTCTGTCACAGGCTTCAGTCACCCTGAGGGAGGAGAAGGTAATAAGGCATGCAGATCCTGGGCCCCAGCTGAGTTTTAGATCTGGCTGAGAAACCCTGGTCCAGACAGTAACAGAATGCCCAGGGTTCCAGTCCTAGCTGTGCCTCAAATTAGGTATGGAACAAGTCCTAGGTAGCTTCCTGGGCATGTTTTCTAATCTATAAAATTAGGCAACCAGTGGGTAGTTTTTCATCTTTTCCAACTTGCAGAACCTCTTACCAAAGGAAATTTTGTATGGTCAGGGGCCATCTGATTATACAGATTCAAAATTGCAATGCCCCACTGACTCCATCTCCCTAACCAGGGAACTCCAGGTCCTGAGAAGCTTGCTTTAAAATACACTAGACAGGCTGGTGGTGTAGTTTAGTGGTAAAGTGCTTGCTTAGCACTTGGGAGGCCCTGGGTTCTACTCTCAGCACTGCATAAGAAAAATAAGAAAAAAAAAAAAAAAAAAAAAAAAAAACCAACCCAGGATCATATGGTTTCATCTACTTGCTGCATATTTTACAAGGGCCCTGGAGCCTAGTGTCGCCTCCATAATACCTAAGTCTGCAAACACATCAAGATTTTTATTGTAGCCCCAAAAGTCCTGGTTAAAAGGCTGGGTAGTTTGGGGGGAGGGGAGCCAGATGGCTTCTGGCTCTGGTTGCAGTTCAAGTCAAGGGGCTGTAGGTGCAGTAGAGCTGAGATAAAGTCCTGCTCAGAACAGGTCCCAGATTCCTACAGGAAGAGAATGGCAGGGTTGGCTGGGATCTAGCATGACCCAGGCCCCAGACTCCCTCAGATTCTCTCCCACTCTCACCTCTGCAGACGCCCACACTTGATGGTGCTCAGCAGCATCTCCTGCTCCTTGGGGGTGGCACAGGCATCATAGGCAGCCAGGAGGCTGGGGATGGGGTATTTGATGGCTGACTATCTGAGCCAGCACAATGAGAACTGAAGCAGGAATAGGGTCAACCTGGGGTGGGGAGATCAGGACACAGCAGACTTCCTGTGCCTGGCATTTTGGTTCTGCTCCATCCTGCCCTGCCCCCTTCCTGGGAACACTGGGACAGAAGTAGCAAAAGCCCCCCCCCCCCGCCCCCTCCTCCAGGAAGCATTCTCTGCTGCACCCTCCCCCATATCTGGGACATCATCCAGTCCTGGCTGACCAACCTCCATAAGCAACCCTGGGTTCAGCTGAATCTGCCCAACTCTGGCTCTGCACAGTCCAATGGAGCCAGGCCCACTCTCCAAAAGCACAGGTTAAGCTATATTCCATGCAAGGAGGGCAAGGGCTGAGGACCCCTAGAAGGCCATCCAGGGATGTACCTGGCAGGGGTGCTGTATCGGTCCACCAGGGCTGCTGCCTTCTCCCCACTGATTCCACGAACCTGCATCAGCTGCCTGGCGAACACCTCACGCACAGACTGGGCCTGAGGTTGAGGAAGGCATGTGTCAGGTGGTGGGGGCCAGGATGCCTAAAGAAAAACTGGGCAGAGGCAGTACCTTGTTCTTGATGGCTCCTGTGTTGAAGTCACTGAAGGTGAGGAGTGAGCAGAGTGGGTTTGGGGTGGGCCTGGCCCCCGACTCAGGGTCCCCTGGGGTTCCCCAGGGACGGCTGCGTAGGGTGTGTCCCTGAGGGAAGAGGGGACTAAGGCCAGGCTAGAGCTCTAAGGGTCAGCCCCCAGCAGTCTTTCCCAGTCCTAGGCCTCAGTGAGCCAGCCCTTCCTCCTTGGGGAAGCAATGGCCCAGGTAAGGGACCAGTTGAGACAGGTGCATCTGCTTACCTGGTAGAGTCTCTCCAGGCCCCTTGTCAAAAGGGCAAGGTAGGCAGCTGACTCCTTAATGTCTACTGTGCGCTTCACAAAGAAGCCATCAATGACCTGGTGAAAAGGACCCACAGGAAGTGGCAGATCCTGGCCTGAACCACCATAGACCATATCCCCTGAAAGCCTGGCCCTGCCTTGTGGCTTACCTGGGTGTTGGTGACAGCCTGCAGCAGTGTGCTCTCAGGAAGGCTAAGGTTGTGGACTGAGCCATACTCCTCCACCAGGTACACCCGATGCCCCAGACCACAGCGCTTTAGTCGGAACTAGGGAGGAAGACAGAGGAGCAGACGGTTAGGCCTGTAAGCCCATGTGCTTGGGCTGTCCATCACGTCACATTTGTGTGACTGTCTCACCAGTTAGCCTCCTCATCTTTGCTATCTCAGAGAGCCTCTACACCTGAGCTTGTGCTGTGACTTGTGGGAAAGCCCTTCTCTGTTTCTGAAACTGCCCATCCTTCAAGCCTTCCTTGGGTTATGTGGCCTCTGATCTAGGATCAGTGTAGCAGCAGGGACCAAGGCACAGCCTCTGCATTTCTATTTGCAGACATTTGGGCCCTGTTTAACCAAGACTGCAGGGGCTGGGTACAGAGGGGGTCTTTAACGTGCTCCTTGGCCCACCTAAGAATCCTCCATTCTCACTATATTCCTGGTGGCCTGAGGGGATCTGAACCTGGGGCTGCCTACAGCAGCTTTAATGGGGCGTGGCTGCATGCCATGAGGGCTCTGCCTTGAGAACACCCAGCAGTGCTCCCCAGCTGCCTTTGGCCTGAGGCAGTGACCCTGGTGCAGGCAGAAAAAGCAAGGCAAGGACGTCCAGCAAAGGAACCTTCTGCTCCCGGAAGCGGCCGTCGATGATGCTACTGCATAGGTCATCCAGGCGCTTGCGCTCCACGATGTGATCCAGGACTAACTCTCCAGGTCTGGCTGCCAAGAAGTCAAAGAACCCATTGGCTTGTGTCCCACCTCTCCCCCCAAGGCCTGCCTCTAATGCCTGCCCATCCACAGCCATTTACCTGGGTCTCTGGGCCTGGTCTCCTGTGCCACCCACACAAAGTCCCCAACATGGAGCTTGCGCACTGTATGGGCCACATGCATCCGCTGTAGCTCTCGGAGCAGCTCTTGCCTATGTCCTGCCCTGAAATAACAGGGAGGGAGACCAAGATCAGTCCAGTACGCTCTACCCTACAGCATCTTCTGATCATCTTCATGGATTTCCCCCCTCTACTTACCCCCTGGTCTCGCTGATGTCCACACACAACAGCACCCTGTACTCTCTAGGCCTCAGCTCCAGCAGTGGCTGATGGACCCCTCCTTCACTGGCACCACTATGGAGGGGGGTGCTCTATGTGAGGCTAGAACTCCCAGTGCCAGGGCATCCCCCTACAACCCATAGAAGGTAGGGCAGCAGGTGGAGATCATGGAGATAAGGGTGTGGTGTTGGCTTCATTTCTGCCCCACCCCCCCTTTCCTCCTCACAGCTCAGCTGAGGCTGCTCCTGGCACCGCTGACTCCTCCCCACAGGGCTTCTCAGGTCCAGTGCCCACATTCAGTAAGCTCAGGCTTTCCGACTCAGCCAACTTCTGGGCCAGCTCCAGGCCCTCTGGGGTCAGTGAGTACCTGGGAGGTGGAGGAGACAAATATAGCTTTCCCTTCTTCACTCACATCTGGCAGGCTGTCACCCAGCTAGGCGGGCCTCTCTCCATCTTGGCAGCCCTGTACAAAAACAAGTCCACTGGCTCCCTGTCTTCTCGTCTCTCAGATCAGTTTCCTGGGGGCCTAGATACTGTTATTTGCCCTGTGTAATACATGTCACAGGCAAAAACTCTTTTCTCCTCGTTTGCTCGTTCTGTTCCCTCCTACCTATGAGTCCCCTCCCAGGTTTTTTTTTTTTTTTGCCCTGGGAATTGAACCCAGGGACACTCTACCTCATTCCCAGCTTTTTAAAATTTCTGAGTCTGCCTCTTGCTAAATTTTAGAGTCTCACTTCAACCTACCAAGTACTTAGGATCTCAGAAAGTGGGATATGGTGGTGGAGGCCTATCAGCCAGATTTTAATACATGTCATGCCTGTAATCTTTTTTTTTTTTTTTTTTTTTAAAGAAAGAGTGGGGGAGAGAGAGAGAGAGAGAATTAATATTTTTATTTTTTAGTTCTCGGCTGACACAACATCTTTGTTTGTATGTGGTGCTGAGGATCGAACCCGGGCCGCACGCATGCCAGGCGAGCGCGCTACCGCTTGAGCCACATTCCCAGCCCCCATGCCTGTAATCTTAACTCCAGAGACTGCGGCAGGAGAATCAGAAGTGCAAGGTCAGCCTCAGCAACTTAGAGAGGACCTGAACTACTGAGTAACACCCTGTCTCAAAATAGATGCAATAAAGTAAAAAGGCTGGGGGATGTAGCTCAGTGGTAAAGACCCTCTGGTTTAATTCCCACTGCCAAAACCAAACAAGAAAAGCAAATTTTAAGACGTGCTAAGTGCCCTCTCCTTGGCAAAGGCTTTCAGCTCCTGTAACAACTCTGGCACCCATCCTCCATCCCCTCCTGCCCCCAGTTGCTCACATGCTCCTGGTACTCCAACAGTGTGGGCTCCTTTGTTGGTTTGATACTGGAGACTGAATCCAGGAGCACTTTTCTACTGAGCTACATCCCTAACCCTTTTTATATTTTGAGACAGGGTCTCACTAAGTTGCCGAGGCTGGCCTCGAACTTGCAATCCTCTTTTCTCAGCCTCCCAGCTTAGTGTAGGCTCCTTGTGGGAAAGGCCAGTCTTTCCCTGCCTCAACAGCAAATTGTGCAACTGTAGGGACTCACCAAGAATATCACATGTATCCTGTCCCTGCCTCCTGTATTCCCTGAAGCTGGTCTCACCTGGCTGGCTGGTGTGTCCTGAGGACCAGGTTCCTATGCAGGAGGGAACGAAGAGCTGGCCAGGATTGAGCATTCCCAGGGACTACCTGTTGATAGAGAAAGAGACCCTCAGAGAGCCTGTAGTGCTACAAATCTAAGCTGGCTCCAGGTGCTGGCCAGGACCCATGCCACTGCTCACTGCCATGAAGTGCAGTTTGATGGGCTCCACCTGTCTTCCTCCACCTTGGTGCTCACCTTGAGGGTCTTCTGGGCACACCTCTGCAGCAGTTCCTCCTTGGTTAGGAAGCTGCAGCCTGCGGGATTCTTAAACAGAAACAACAGGGTAGGTTCAGTGCTGAGGCTCCTCCTCATTCTGCCAAAGTGACAGGGATGTTCTCTGCCCACCTTACCCAGAAAGGCACTTCCAGGAGCCTCCCCTCACCCCCACTGCCTCTACTGGCTATTACCAGTGTGGCCAGGCACTAACCAAGTGTTCCTGGTAGAGCTCCAGCAGAAC